AACACATGGAGATGTATGTTTCTAATTTTATATGTTTTTCTGTACATGTGTCACGCTTTAATAAAAATGTCTGTTGAGGCGCCTAGGTGGCTCAGTGGGTGAAGTGTCCAACTCTTGATTTTGGCTCAGGTCATGATTTCGGGGGGGGGCTATGTGCTGAGTGTGCAGCCTGCTTAAGATTCTCTCCTTCTCCCTCTGCCCCTCCCTGCTCATGCTCTCTCTCTCTCTCTCTAAAAATAACAAAAATTAAATTAAATTAAAATTTTAAATATCTGTTTATGAAGACAATGGTCCAGCAAACCCTGGAGTGATTTCTATGGAACCAGTTCCCTCTAGGATGGTGCTGCAGCCCTGAGTTCTCTGAGACCCAGTCTGTCCCCCCGTGCCCAACGACTTCACCATTCACTTTGTTTCAGGGGAGGTGCAGTGAGGAAGAGATACAAATACAGTGAGGAACAGAAACAAATAGTCTTCTTAGAACTTGCGTGGATCCCAGACAGAGTAGTCAGAATCAGAGACTCCTTCCTGAGAAGTGAAAATTTTAACACAGTCTGTAAAAAGAGCCGGTAAGCATGCCTTAGAGCTAATCCATGAGATGCTGCCCTGCCCTTTTGTTTTGTCTGCAGCCCCTGCATGTTCACAGTCTCCAGTGTGTCCTTTGGGGTCCCCTCAGAATGCACAGAGCAAACCTGAATTTTGGACCTGGACCCACTCCTGTGGGCAGCTATTTGAAGGTCCCTGCTTCCCAACACACCTGACCCCAAAATCATCCCAATCTGCTTCTAAGATGCCTAAAAAGAATTCATTCATTCACTCAGTTAACATTTTGAGTACCTATTGTGTGAGCACTTTGCAGGGCACTAATCACAGCTGTAATTATGTATTGAGTCCTGTGATAGATGTTAGCTCTGTGAAGGAGGGGTCCATGTACTGATTCACCATCAAATTCTCAATACTTAGCCCAGGGCCTGGCCCAAAGGTGTTCAAGCCCCATGAGGGAAGGGGTGGGAATTGAGAGGGAGATGTCCCTGTGGAAACAATTAGCATATTTCACATTGTACAATGTCATAATAGGATTAAGTGTCTTGAATATGTGTTCTTTTAAGTTAAAAATGTTGCATTCTCCCAAAGATCCCAGTTATGACAATGAGAAAACCTTCAGAAAAGAGTTACCCATTAAAACTTATCATCTTGGGCACCTGGGTGGCTCAGTTGGTTAAGCGTCTGCTTTTGGCTCAAGTCACGATCCCAGGGTCCTGGCTCCCTGCTCAACAGGGAGACTACTTCTCTGTCTCCCCACCCCCTGCTCGTGCTCTGTCTCACTATATCTCTCTCTCTCTCTCTCATAAAAAAATAAAATCTTTAAAAATAAATAAAACATCATCTCATCCAGGATTTCCTTTTTTAAGATTTTATTTATTTATTTATTTATTTATTTATTTGAGAGAGAAAGAGCACAACCTGGGTGCAGGGGGAGAGGCAGACTCCCCAGTGAGCAAGGAGCCTGATGCAGGGCTCAATCCCAGGACCCGGGGATCGTGACCTGAGCCAAAGGCAGACACTTAACCAACTGAGCCACCCAGGCACCCCTCATCCAGGATTTTCTCTCTCTTTTTTTAAAGATTTTATTCATTCATGAAAGAGAGAGAGAAAGCATGGGGCAGGGGGAGAGGGGGAAGCAGGCTCCCCGCTGAGCAGGGAGCCCGATGTGGGGCTCGATCCCAGGACCCTGGGATCATGACCTGAGCTGAAGGCAGACGCTTAACGACTGAGCCACGAGGCTGCCCTTCATCCAGGATTTTCTAACTCGCTTTTGACTTAAATAATTAACCAACAAATTAGTCTCTCTTCTTGACTCTGATCACAAAACTAAGTGAAACATAGACCCTGCCTCCAAATAACTGAGTAACATGAGTGCCAATCTGGGGGGACCTGGTGTAAGAACTTTCTAAGCATGTTATAGTAGCATACCTCACCTAACGGTGACACATCCCTATAGAGCAACACCACTGTTGACTTCACCTTATGAATGGAAAACTGAGAAACAAAAGTTAGTTAGCTTCTTCAATGCCACAGAGGGAGTACTTGGCTTAAAATCTAGAACAGCTTCTCCCAATGAAACTCGCCAATAGACAGATAAACTCTCACTTTATTCTAGAGATTGTTTAAAGTATTCATCCATCCATTCATTCAATAAAGGGACAAGATTTACTGAGACTCTAATTGTGCCAGATACTGTTCTAGAGGCTGAAGAAACAGCAGTGAACAAAACAGACAAAAGCCCTGGCCTCAAGGATCTTACATTCTAGTGAGGTAAAGAGGAGCCCAGGAGACAGAAAAGAAAACAAAGGAGTAAACAGGAGAGTGTGTCCAATGGAGATGAAGACCACAGAGAAAATAAGCAGAGAGGGAGATACGGCATTACAGGATGGCGGGGTTGACAATTTCAGTGGAAGCCATCCCCGAGAAGGTGGTATGAGCAGAATCCTGAGGGGCGGAGGGAGCAGGCCAGGTGGCCAGTGGGGAAGTGGCATTCCAGGTAGAGAAAACTGAGTGCAAAGCCATGGAGTGCAGTGTGCTCCAGGAGCAGCGGGTCAGGGATGCTGAACACAGGGCGTGCAAGGAAGGAGAGAGGAAGGGGAGGTGGGGATCAGGGAGGCCAGATCACGTAGGCCACTGTAAAATGTGTGGCTTTTACTCTGCATTCAGAAGCTTCTGAAAACGCTCGGCAAACCTCAAGAGTGATAGGAGCTTCTTACATATATATTATGCATATTAAATTCTTCAGTAAGCTAAGTTTTAAAAAAAAAAGAAAAGGTTTCACTGCCATCATGTGTCCTGATGGGATGCTCTGAAATAGACACAGCCTCAACTGTATAGTAACCCCGCCCAGAAAGCATAGCCCAGCTCACAAACCCGGATTCAGGAGCCTTCCACAAAACAACTGGCTTGTACTCCAAAAATGTCAAAGTCATGAAAGACAAAGAAAGGCTGAGGAGGGTTGTAGATCGAAAGACATAACAAAACAAAACAAAACAAAACTGGGTGCCTGGCTGGTTCAGTCAGTAGAGCACGCAACTCTTGACCTCGGGGTTGTGAGTTCAAGCCCCACATTGGGTGGAGGACTACTTTAAAAAAATAAAACTTTTTTAAATAAAAAAATAAGAGACATAACAAAAAAAGGACCTAACAACTGAATGTAATACATGATCCTGATTTGATTCTGCATTGGAGAGGGGAGAATGCCATAAAGCACATTATTGGAACAACTGGTAATATTTAGATATGGACGGTGTATTTGATTGTATCAATGTTAAATTTACTAAATTTTGATAATTGTGCTGACATGATATAATATGATATGGGAATGCCCACGTTCTTAGAAGAGTCATGCTACAAAACTTAAGAGTAAAGGGACATGATGCCTGTAACTCACTCTCAAATACTTCAGCAAAATTTTTTTCTATTTTTTTATTTTAATTTTGTTAGTTAACATACTTATTACACATTTATATGCACATACCTATATGGGGACAAAAAGAAATAAAGCAAATGTGATAAAATGGTAACAACTGGTGAGTCTGGGTGAAGGAAATATAAGAAGTCTTTGTACTATACTTGCAACTTCTCTGGAGCTCTGAAATTACTATTTTAAACTTTTTAATTTAAAAGTTTAAAAATTTTAAAAATAAAATAAAAGTTTAAAACTGAAAACCAATAAACAGAGCAGCAGTTTCATTCAGCTTTCAGCAGGCCAGCCCCACAAACACAGGGCGCAGCAGGAAGAGGGAGAAGTTCCCGAAAGCCAAAGCCCGTCAGCCTGTGCCCACACCCTGGCGGGGCCAGCTCCCCCCAGGTCTCCCTGCAGTGGGTGTGCTCAGCCGTGCCCCAGGTGTGGACGTGGGACAGCCCCGTTCTCCTGTCACTCAGTCTCATCTTCTCAGACCGGCTCAACTTCTGGCATCCAGATATTCCCGACTGCTCCCTGTCCTCAGCGCTCTCTGCCTTTCCTTCCCTTGTGTTTGTTACGGATTTGTAAATACAGATGCGTGTGTTTCAACCGCCGGTCTCCCCCAGTCCCCTGGAGCCCAGACTGTGTCTGGGAGGACACAAGAGTGCCCGCAATGGGTCTATATGGGGCTTCCAACAGGCCCCAGACAAACACTACCCTGGGCCCAATTTTCCTCCCTCTGCACCCAGAGTGTGTCCTCCACTTATTCCCTCACGCTTGATGGCCCTGGAAGAGCCACCGACCTAGAATGCAGACGCACATGTCAGAGCACCCTTGACTCCAGGGTTGGATGAAGGGGGAGCAGCCCTCAGCTGAGATCTCCCCAAGCCGAGTTTTCCATGTGCTCTGGAGCTTCCTGATATGGTCTCCTTCTTCCCCCTTCCCCACCTCCTGCTCCAAGCCAGCATTTCCCTAATGATTTTCAGGTTCGTGTAGCCTCTGGGCTGCTGGAGGCTGCTGGGGGGTGAGGGGCCAGGCCATTCAGGCAGAGTGGCTGTTGGCTGCACGCTCCCTCCTCCTGGCTCAGCTTCTCTGCCTGGGGAGCAATCTGTCAGTCTCTGATTTCCAGAGCCACCCGACTTCCTTAGAGAAACCCAAGCCCAGGGGCCACTTCTCTCTGCTGGTAATCACGCCACATTAGAGAACATTTCCTTTGTCCTTCTTACGGCCAGCAGAGAGGACGCTTTCTCCCCACTACACAGACAGACAAACTGAAGCCAGTGTAAAGGAGTTTTCCTGCCCCAAGAACAGGGAGATCGCTCGATTGCTGAAGGCATGGCCAGACGCACTTCTCAAAGACCTCCCAACCCGCTGCTAGCCAGTTCCGTCTGACCTAGCCTGTCCAGAGCTGTCAGGAGCTGCTCGTCGTCACGGTGCCAGGCGACCTTGTAAACAGCTGAATCCAGGGGCTCTGGGTTCTGATCTCCCCAGGGGCCATGGCCCCAAGTCCATGCCATCCCCCACCCCACGCCAGGCTGGGCCTCCTTACCTTGGCCCTGATTCCCCTTGAGGAGCAGGAGTGTGAGGACGAGAGCTTGCCCCAACATCCCTAGAGGACAGAGGGGTCGGTCGGCTCCTCGCCCACCAGACGCTCTGCTCGTGCCCAGGCTCAGCAGCAACCACCCAGCTGGAGGGAGAGGGGGAGCAGAACTGCCTCGCTGTTTGTCTGGCCACAATTTCCTCTACACAAGGCTGTTCTCAGCAGCTGAGAGCTAACAAGGCCACCAAGAAAGTCCCAGTACCTGGACGTGGTCCTACAGTTCACACAAGCTGAACTTTCAAATTTGGCCTCAAGTGGGCGGGTGCTGAGTTCGCAGTGACTCACAAAACCAGCTTCAAAATCCTGTCCATTGCTCTGCCCCAGTCAGGCTGCCTCATTCAAGGGACAGACATGAAGAAATGTTCCAGTTCTCTCCAACCTACTGGCAATATGGAGAAAGCTGCCAGGAGGCAGGGGGACCAAACAGCCATTATCCCGGACCGTCCCATTCCAACAGGCACTGTGAACGTGGGAGAAGGGGTGGAGGGCGTGTGGGCTGAGAAGTGGAGCCCTAGATAAGTGGGTGAAATGTTGAAGGAAAGGAGCAGGACACCAGGAAGATCTAAGACCCAGGGATGCTCTGCAAGGTGATAACCAGGTTTAAGCACATGCACACTCAAACGTCTTTACCTAGATTTGCTTTTGCTCATTCCCTGTCTGTGCTTCTATGCCCCATCCTTTCCCCTTTTGCTCCTTTTTCCCATAGTAGTTCTCTGCCTTCTCTTGCCTTCTCTCACCCAGACAGCGACCAAACTCATCTTTGCTGCCCTCCCCTGCCCACATTTCAATTCCGCCCTCCACAAAGGCCAGGAAGCTTTGATCCTTCTTATACCCCCACAGAGGGGGAGAGGTGGTGGCACCCCACCTTCCCCAGAAAGCATTTGCTTTGAGGCCATACCCTGGGGCTTCCTGACTTGTTCTTCCTTCTGCTTTCCCCTTAGCAACAAATTCTTTCAGTTCCCTTCCAGTCAGCCCTTCCTCTCTTTTTCCATCCTTTGATCCATTTCCAATCACCCCGTCTGAAGCTGGGCTCAGGGGAGGCAGACTAGAGCCTCAACTACTAGTGAAGAAAGCAGGGTGTTCTGGACAGAGCACAGATTTGGAGACTTGAGGGACAGTTCAGCAACTTAACAACCTGGGTGATCCTGGCCAAGGTACCTTCTGAGCCTGTGGGGTCAGTCCTTGGCTCACGTTCCTCACAAGGTAGTTTTAAGGATCAAATCAATAATTGTAGCTGACAGCACACACAAAAAAGAACTCTGGACATAGGTAAGTCCTGTTTTTCTTTTTTTTAAGATTTATTTATTTATTGAGAGAGAGAGCAAGTGCGGTAGGGGCAGAGGGAGAGGGAGAGAGAGAGACTCTCCAACAGACTCCGTGCTGATCAGGGAGCCCAGCTCTCATGACGCTGAAAACATGACTTGAGCCAAAATCAAGGGTCCGATGCTTGACCAAGTGAGCCACCTAGGCATCCCTCTTTTACTTTTTCTTTTTTGCATTTTATTTTTCTTAATTTAGCCTTGCATGGCTTTTTCCCATGGGTTCAATGGTTATCAACTCTGCCACGGGGCGGCCCTTCACCCCTACGGAGCTTCCTCAGGGCCAATCTGGCCATGCCCTTGAATTTGAGAAGTAGTGCTCAAGACATGATGCAACAAGTAAGGATACATTTTCTGCCATGAAAGATGGAAGACAAAGTCCAACTGTTCAAAACAACTAATGAACAACATTTACTAATCTGCTTCACTGATCCTGACCCCAACACCAGCTCCATCCTTTCTCCACCAGTCGCATGGATACATACCATCCCCGGGAAACTGAACCGGGAGCAGACATGTCGTTATATCTCGTGGTCTTGTTAGCTAGAATGCAACGGGAAGTTACTCTTATTAAGAGAGCTTAAAGCTATCACCAAAAGGGAGGAGGGGAAGGGACAAAAGCAAGGAAGGAATGTGTTTTATTTTGCAGAACCAACAGTTCTAGCCAAAGAGTTGCCCAACTAGGTTTTTCAACTGATAGCCCCTTGCTATGTGTGTCTTGTCTGATAGCCCCTTATGTGAGCCAGTGTGACTTGGAATGGAGCTGAGGACCTTTGCAGAAGCCCCCCTGAGTTGTCCTGAAGTTACCTGTAGCTCATTATAGTACTAAGATCTCCTCCTACAGGCAGTTTTCTGCCACTTTTTGAACATGTGATGTATGCACTAGAATGTTGACATGCAGGGCGCCTGGGTGGCTCAGTCGTTAAGCATCTGCCTTTGGCTCAAGTCATGATCCCAGGGTCCTGGGATCGAGCCCCGCATGGGGCTCCCTGCTCAGCGGGAAGCCTGCTTCTCCCTCTCCCACTCCCCCCGCTTGTGTTCCCTCCCTCACTGTCTGTCAAATAAATACATAAAATCTTTAAAAAAAGAATGTTGACATGCTAGGCTTGTGCAATTGAACAGAGTGCTTTTGTAAGTTCCCCACTCTTGTCTCCTAATACACTGAATGAGCTCCTGTCTCCTAATACACTGAATGAAGCGTCCCGTCATATCCCCATGGGAGACAGCACTTTGAGAGCTTATCTCCCTGTCTCCTTACTTATAACAAGTAATGAAAAGTTCTTTGCTTTTTTTTTTTTAAGATTCTATTCACTTATTTGAGAGAGAGACAGAGCACAAGTGAGGGAAGGGCAGGGAGAGGGAGAAGCAGACTCCCCAACGAACAGGGAGCCCGACGTGGGGCTCGATCCCAAGTCCCTGAGATCATGACCTGAGCCGAAGACAGACGCCCAACCAACTGAGCCACCCAGGCGCCCCAAGTTCTTTGCTTTTAACATTTCCTTGGGTTGTATTCAATTTCATACACCCCAAGCAGTGAACCTCTCGAGTTCAGTTACAGTCTTTAATATACTCTACCACATGATAACTGCTGTTTGTCTACAAACTGCCCTGCCTGACCCTGAGTGCTTCATCATGAAGCCTGTGGTCTCCCCAGTTAGTGTTTCCAGAGCCTGGCCTGGTGTCTGGTGCTTAATAGTTGGTTGCAGAGTGTTGAGTGCTGAAAGAATGAATGACTTCCCTAAAGAAAGCATTTCTATTCCTCCTGAGATACGCTGGTGAGCTAAGCCATGATGGTCCTGCCTTCATGGGGTTTATATCTTGCCCTGCAGGGTCCTTGTCCAGAGGGCCCTTCTGTGCAATTCAGCCACTTTAGCATGAAGACCCAAGACCCTACAAAGTCCACATAAACTCAGAGACTCTCATAGCCTCACTTCCCATGCATATTCTCCAGGTCTCCATAAGTCTGGGACATTGAAAAGTCAGTGGCCATCCAGGAATTAAAGTTCATCAACCTCCACCCTCTCATCCTTCCTTTTCTCAAATCATACTTGCATCATCTTTCACTGAGTCAAGGTTATTCTAGTATAGCCCAACTGCAAAGTTCATGAGTCCCCAAGACCACCCACTTATAAGACCAATTATAAGTTTGGAGTCCCTATGACCACCTTTAGTTCTGACAATTCACTAGAAAGCACTTTAACAATTTTTTTAAATGATTCTTTTTTTTTAAGATTTTATTTATTTATTTGAAAAAGAGAGAGAGAGGGTGTGAGAGAGCACAAGGAGGGGAGTGGGATAGGCAGAGGGAGAAGCAGTCTCCCTGCTGAGAAGGAAGCCTGGTGCGGGACTCGATCCCGGGACACACACCCCCCCGGGATCATGACCCAAGCTGAAGGCAGACACTTAACTGACTGAGCCATCCAGGCACCCCAACAATTATTAACATGTGAAACGCTCGTGTTCTCTGACCTAGCAATACCCCCTCTTTGAATTTATCCAACAGAAATACTCTAATGCACCAAAAATATTTTCACAAATGCCCAAAGATAGGTAAGATTCTTCCTTACGTCACTGTTAAGTAAAAAACCGGAAATAGCCAAAACGTTAATCAGTAGGGAATAGTTGGGAAAAAATGGTGTATTGATTCTATACTATAGTACATGAAGAAGCTTTTAAAAAGAGTAAGACTGGGGTGCCTGGGTGGCTCAGTCAATTAAGCGTCCAACTCTTGATTTCGGCTCAGGTCATGATCTCAGGGTTGTGAGACCGAGCCCCACGTCAGGCTCCACGCTCAGCAGGGAGTCTGCTGGAGATTCTCTCCCTCACCCCCACACCGCTTGTGCTCACTCTCTCTTGCTCTCTCTCAAATAAATTAATTAATTAAGATGTCTCTTAAAAAAAATAAAAAGAGTAAGACAAATGTATACATATTCACATTAACAGACCTCTAAGACATTCACAAAACAATGTGCATAATATAATTCTGTTTAGGTGAACAGAACTGTGTGTGCATTTATGTTCTCTGAATGGTTGTAAATGCAGAAAAACGTGCCTGAGGGAAAATAATCATGACAGTAATCTTTAGATAAAGAAGCAGAATTTTAGGGGCACTGGGGTGGCTCAGTTGTTAAGCGTCTGCCTTCGGCTCAGATCATGAACCCAGGGTCCTGGGATTGAGCCCGCATCGGGCTCCCTGCTCCGTGGGAAGTCTGCTTCTCCTGCTCCCCCTGCTTGTGTTCCCTCTTCGCTGTGTCTCTCTCTGTCAAATAAATAAATAAAATCTTTAAATGAATAAATACCTTTAGCTGAATTAAATTTAGCTTCATAAAGAGACCGTACTTTGTCCTTAATTTCCTCATTTTGCCACAAGCTGGTGACAATCTACTACAGAGGAGCACCAGGCAGGAGACTGCATTTGAGAATAAGTCAGCACAAACCGCCCCCAAAGCCTCTAGCTTCCACCCCGCCATCCTCCCTTCAGCTTCAAGAGAACTGAGCAGTCCCTCCACAGTGACACCACATACATAACACATAATGTTATTAGAGCACTGATAATACTGCAATTCTTAGGAAAAGGTTGTCTCTTTTTTGCTAAGGTATCATTTTCTATCTTTGTAGGTTCAAAGTACTGATTTACGCACTGATTTACGCACCATACTCAGATACACTGATAAAACAGAACAGCACCCAAGAAGAAAACTCCAAAGAAAATTATGCTTCTTTTGGTCCTTTCTTTTTTTGATTCTAAGACACATTTTTTTCATGTTTTGACATCTTTAATATCATTGTGCATTTCCTCCTTAGTGGTACATTCATGGAACAATCCACGTGGACAGTTGATGACACCTAAGAGTCTGGGAAAATGGTAGCTCTAACCTTAGGGACATCGCCCCTTCTGATCACTATCCTCTAGCCACGACCCGTGACTGTGTCCCATTGATCTTACCTCCTATTTCCTCTTAAATCTGTTCCCCACACCACCTCCCCCAAATCCCACCGCCCTGACACTTCCTTGGCTCAGGTCTGGATCAGTTAGGATGCCTTCAGCTGTGACTCATAGAAATCCCATCTCAAAGTGGCTTAAACAAAAAGCAAACAAATCGCCTCACGAGATGGGAAATCCAGAGGCAAGGCAGCTCAGGCCTGATCTACTCATCAGCACAGTGATGTCTTCAAGGGCCCTTTCCTTCTCCCCACCCTGGCTTCACCATCTGGCTGAGTGAGATGCCTACCAGCATTCCAATCATCAGCTACGGGTCACTTTGCCAGGGCTGCCCTGACGAAAAGCCCAGACTGGACGCTAACACAACAGAAATGTAATTTTCTCACAGTTCTGTGGGCTGGAAGTCCAAGATCAAGGTGTCGGTAGGTCTGGTTCCTCCTGAGGCCTCTCTCCTAGCTTGCAGATGGCACCCTCCTCGACATGGCCTCACGTGGTCTGTGCACATCCCTAATGTCTCTGTGTGTCCACATTTCCTCTTCTCTTAAGCATACCAGTTAGACTGGATCAGTGCCCACTCAAATGGCCTCATGCTAACTCAATCACCTCTTTGCAAACCCTGTCCCCAAATATAGTCACATTCAGATGTACGACATATGAATTTGAGAGAACACGGTTCAACCCATAACAATCTGTATGTCCAGAGGGAGGAGGGATCCTCTCTCCCTGTGGCTCCTTTTTAGAGGAGAGGAAACTTTTTACAGAGGCCCCCTGCACACTTTTCTTCATGTCTCATTGGCCAGAAACGGGTCAAATGCCCACTCCTGGGGTGCCTGGCTGGCTCAGTCAGTAGAGCATGTGACTGTTGATCTCAGGGTCATCAGTTACAAGCCCCACATTGGGCATAAAGCTTACTTTAAAAAAAAAAAATGTCCACTCTTGAAACAACCTCTGGCCAGGATGGTGGAACCACCCTGATTGCTTCAAATTAATCATCTGGACATAAGATTGATGTTGGTGAGCCCTATAACAAGGCCCTCCGGTGTCCTCCATTTCTGAAATGGCCTCCTGACCATTTCTAAACCTCTTCTGGGTCCAGTATTAGCCCACCTCCATCCCTTATCCATACAGCTGTCAACAAAGATCCTTATAAGACACAAACCACCTCCACAACCCCACTAAAAACATTTACATCATCTGCAAGAGCACCAAGCTCAAACTCCACACCATAGAGGGTGTATCAGTTACCTATTGCCACATAACAAACCACTCCAAGACTTACTGCCTTAAAACTTCAATCATTTCCTTCTTTTTTTTTTTTTGAAGATTTTTATCTATTTGAGAGAGAGAGGGAGCATGAACAAGTGTGGGAGGGGCAGAGGGAGAGGGACCAGCAGACTCCCTGCTGAGTGCAGAGCTCAGCGACACAGGGCTTGATCCCAGAACCCCGAGATCACGACTGAGCCACCCAGGCACCCCAAAATGGCAGTCATTTCTTTTTGCTCATGAGTCTGCAATGTGAGCAGAGCTCAGTGGGATGGCTTGTTTCTGAGACATGTAAATACCTTCCCTTTTTTTCAGCCACTTCTCCATCTTTCTCTCCTTCCTCCATGACCCCTCCCGTTGGTGCAACTCTGTCCTTTCCTTCCTCTTCTGCTTTTTACTTTCTTTACCTGCTGACCCTTCCCTCTGTCACACCCCTTCCTCTCTCCACCCACAGTTGTCCCTGTTCCTCATGGTGCAACCACTCTCAGCCACCTTCTCCCAGGCTGGAGATGCACCATGGGACGTAGGGCAGATACTTCAGTCTCTGCCTTCACACCTCTTAGAGAATCGGTGTAAAGAGGTAAGCAGAGTGGGGCCCCGGGGGGGCTCAGTCGTTAAGCGGCTGCCTTCGGCTCGGGTCATGATCCCAGGGTCCTGGGATCGAGCCCCGCATCGGGCTCCCTGCTCGGCAGGAAGCCTGCTTCTCCCTCTCCCACTCCCCCTGCTTGTGTTCCCTCTCTTGCTGTGTCTCTCTCTGTCAAATAAATAAATAAAATCTTAAAAAAAAAAAAAGAGGTAGGCAGAGTGATCACAAATCACACAGATTCTAATCATTTCTCACAACTCTTCCCTTCTCTCCTCATCCCTCCCTCCCAGAATTTGCTCTTCTCAAGTCATGTTTGCACGTTAATCTTTGCCACAGGCTTTCCTTTGTAGAGGACCCAGACTAAGACATAAAGTAAAGAGATGGCTCTGGAAACAGGCTGTCAAGGTGGGATTTTGGAGTTGAATTGCTCACATATCCAAAAGGAATAGTGGCCCCATTGCTGCTGGTCAGTGGGGATTCCTTTAACATCTGGTGCTGACCCTCACCTTTCTCTTCTTCACTGTGGGCCTTTTTTGCATTTTTTTAAAGGTTTTATTTATTTATTTGTCAGAGAGAGAGGGCCCAAGCAGAGCAGGCAGAGGAAGAAGCAAGCTCCCTCCCGAGCAAGGAGCCTGATGCGGGGCTCGATCCCAGGACCCTGGGATCATGACCCGAGCCGAAGGCAGACGCTTAACGGACTGAGCCACCCAGGCGCCCCCCCCTTTTATGCATTTTAGATCAACTCCTCTGATCACTCAACTTCCATGTGCACTGGAAGATGGGAATCAGGGACAGAAGTTAGGAGGGCAACAGGAGAACCAGCAAGGAATGTCACAGCATCGGCAGTGAAGAGGAGCTGAGGGAGTGAGGGAAGGGTTAAGGGGTAGCAACTGCCTCCGACTCCTCTTCCCACTACACATCAGCCCAAATGCCATGGCATGCACGGCTGGGTCTGAGGTTGGGTTGTGGGTGTTGACAAGCTGGAAATTGTTGGGATGTGGGGGACGGTTGGTAAGAATGTAAAAGAAGGAATAAATGATTGCTTTTGATAGAGTATTGCTTTTTGTGGGCTTAGATTTATCACCAATGGCCAGTCCATGTCAAAATAACTCAAAATGTACTTGAGGGCAAAAACGTGATGCTATGTGTATGCACTGAGAGAGAAATGCATGGAAGAAAGATCTCCCACAACCTCATATCCAGCCTAGCTTCTCCAAGTGCTTTGTTTATGCTTTATTGTTAAAAAGGAAACTCTAGGGCGCCTGAGGGGCTCAGTCTGGCTAAATGTCTGCCTTCAGCTCAGGGACCTGGGATGGAGCCCCAAGTCAGGCAGAGGGGAGCCTGCTTCTCCCTCTCCCTCTGCTCCTCCCCTCTGCTCATGCTCTCTCCTGCCCTCTCTCTCTCAAATAAATAAATACAATCTTGAAAAAAAAAAAAAGACAACTTTACTGTACGAAACTAACTCACATATGGAAAAGAAGATAAAACATAAATATATACAACAAGTGGTAACTGGACCTACCAAGGGATCACTTCATAATAAAAATATTAAGTCACTGCATTGTACACCTGAAAGTAATATTATGTTGTATGTCAATAATCATTCAATAAATAAATAATAAAAATAAAATAATTTTTTAATGATTGTATTTATTTATTTGAGGGAGAGAGTGCACAAGCCAAGGATTGGGGCAGGGGGAGAGGGAGAAGCAGGCTCCCCACTGAGCAGGGAGCCTGATGAGGTTCGATCCCAGGACCCTGGGATCACAACCTGAGCTTAAGCCAAACGTTTAACCAACTGAGAGCCACCCAGGTGCCCCAAATTAAAATAACATTTAAAATATATTTTAAAAAATAAAATATCTCAGGGGTTCCTGGCTGTCTCAGTCAGTGGAACATTCGACTCTTGATCTTGGGGTCGTGAGTTCGAGCCCCATATTGGGCATAGAGATTTATTTAAAATAAATAAATTAAATTAATTTAGTAAAAAAATAAGATCTCTCAATTCCCCTTGCATCCAAAATCAGAAGTAGGTATCCACGTTGCAATGTCATTGCTATAACTGCTATAAGAAATTAGAATTCCGTTTAAAAGCTCTTGACAGTTTCCAATTCTTTTAGTTAAATAGCAAAACAAATGTGCTTGCCATTATGTTCAAGATCTCTGAGCAGTCAGTGCAATGGTGCTGACTTTTTTCCTAGTTTTGCTCAGTCTAACCACTGTATAATCCTCATTCCATCTTCTGCCATTCCCCGGCGGTGTTAGGAGTTTTTCCTCCTCCCTCTCTACCCTTATTCACCCCGACAATCTGTGTTTATTTGCCATTAAACATCAAGGTCTCCTATACCGTTGGATACTGAAAGTCCATGTTCATCTTTGCAAATCCTTAAAAAAGATTTGGAGAGTATTATGTTTCCTGGACACTCTATGCTGGTGTTGTATGTAGATGACCTCAGCCTCTAACTCAACGATGCCTACCAGTAGGACTCAACAATTTTACTCTCCTCTCTCATTTAAAAGGGCCACAAGGTGGGGCACCTAGGTGGTTCAGTCATGATCCCGGGGGGCCCTGGGATCAAGCCCCCATGTCAGGCTGCCTGCTCAGCGGGGAGCCTGCCTCACTCTCTCCCTCTGCCATTCCCCCGCCAACACCCGGTTGTGCTCTCTGGTTCTCCCTATCTCTCTGTCAAATAAATAAATTAAAATCTTTAAAAGGGCCATAAGGTTTCTAAGGAAAAATTACAATTTTGTTTGACATGAGTCTATTACCTGTGCCATGTCTTTTCACGCAACACCTCAATACCTCCCAGTAGAAGCCATCCTCAAGGTCCTGAGGACAACTGCAATTTCACCATGCTGCACCTTTTGAGGCATGGCTGCCTATTATTAACAATACCAGTGGGTATTCTTCAATTGCTGACTGTTTGATACAAGAGACTGGAGCTTGGCTGCGGGAAGCGGAAGGAAAATATTCCCCCTCAAACAGGGCTTAGCTAGGTCCTCTTGATTAGGATAAGAACTTTCCCTCTTGGGGCGCCTGGGTGGCTCAGATGGTTAAGTGTCTGCCATCTGCTCAGGTCACGATCCCAGGGTCCTGGGATCGAGCCCCACGTAGGGCTCCCCGCACAGTAGGGAGTCTGCTTCTCCCTCTCCCTCTGCTGCTCCCCCTGCTTGTGCTCTCTTGCTCTCTCTCTCGAATAAATAAAATCTTTAAAAAAAAAAAAAAAGAACTTTCCCTCTTTTGTCAGAAGATGGAATCACTAGGTGGGATGATGGTGGGTCACAGAGACAAGCAAAGCCCTATTGCCTAATACAGGTCTTCTCCGAACCTTGGAGAGCTGGACAGCCTCCCTGCCCAAGGGCTGCAGCTGCAGCTGTGATTCTGGAAGAGAGACCATTTACCTCTATAATTCTATATATAGTCTGGCTCCTCTTGAGCTGGTATTCATCAAAAGACACCTTGACCTCAACATTTTAAATGTTACCAGATAGGGGCGCCTGGGTGGCTCAGTTGTTAAGCGCCTGCCTTCGGCTCAGGTCATGATCCCGGGGTCCTGGGATCGAGCCCCACATCGGGCTCCCTGCTTGGTGGGAAGCCTGCTTCTCCCTCTCCCACTCCCCCTGCTTGTGTTCCCTCTCCCGCTGTCTCTCTCTGTCAAATAAATAAATAAATAAATAAATAAATAAATAAATAAATGTTACTAGATAATTCATAAGACCTCCAACTCTTTCCTTAGACCTCCAACTCTTTCCTTGCTTAAGATCAAAAACTGTAAGAAATACTACAATTGAGTTAAAGAAAAAAATAAACAAGGAGTTGAACCAGTTGAGTATGATGTTTTGAATAACGACAAATTGCCAAGATGTCTTAGGGACACAGAAACTTCTGGATATGAACTTAATTTCATAAGACGAATGGAGACATTTTTTCTGATTTACAAATAGCAGCGTGTGCCTTGAATGAGGACAAGGATACAGGTCAGAAAATGACATTTTTTTCCAGCTTGTCACTCAACACCCTCTCTCAGAGGATCTTTGCTACTTAATCTATGTCTCTCCATGTGCTGAAGAGCTCTTGTAGTTCAAAATTTTATGATAACAAAAGGTATAGCAGTGATTACCTCTGGGCAGGAGGTTAGGGATCTGGGGTCAGTGTATATGGGGAGGGGCGCTAGGAAGCTTGTGGGGACTGCTATGAGGCCATTTGTCAGCCACCTCCCACTTTCAGGGAAGCTGTCCCAAGACAGCTGTCCTGAGGGGCGCCTGGGTGGCTCAGTCGTTAAGCGTCTGCCTTTGGCTCAGGTCATGATCCCCGGATCCTGGGATCGAGCCCCGCATCGGGCTCTCTGCTCAGCAGGGAGTCTGCTTCTCTCTCTCTCTTCCCTTCTGCCCTCCCCCTGCTCACACTCTCTCTCTCTAAAACAAATAAAATATTTTTGGGCGCCTGGGTGGCTCAGTTGGTTAAGCGACTGCCTTCGGCTCAGGTCATGATCCCGGAGTCCCGAGATCGAGTCCCACATGGGGCTCCCTGCTCAGCGGGGAGCCTACTCCTCCCTCTGACCCTTTCCCCTCTCGTGCTGTTTCTATCTCTCTCTCTCTCAAATAAATAAATAAAATCTTTAAAAAAGATAAAAATAAATAAAAAATAAAACAAAATAATTTTTAAAAAGAAAAAGCAGATTTTCTATTTAAAAAAATAATTTTAAAAAATTAAATTAAAAGCTTGTTGCTTCTCTGTTGTTTCTGGATCAGCCCAACGTGCCCACTGCGGGACAGGCCACACAGGTGTCTCCTGGCCCTCTTCACATCACTCTGCTGGAATTGGGACTCGGAACCAACACAAGGCAATGCGGACACTCTGGCTGCTGTGAATGGCAAGGCCATTTGTCCCAGTCCCAGGAGACTGTTCTGCCAGCATCCAGGACACTGGCAGGCTAACCCATTAACTCACAAGTAGGGGGAAATCTCAGACTCACCACAGCTCCTACCAGCATCGTAGGTGTCCCCAGGAACACGGCTTTCCCCCTGGGCTCAGGCCATGTCTGCTGAGGCTGGCTGGGTCATAAAAGCCTCAAGAATCACACTAGAAACCCCCTCAGGTAGAAGCTGGTGGCGAAACAGACCGTAGCAGCAGGTGCATTTCCCCCTTGATCCCCGGGCAGAGCACCATGACTGTGGCTTCGGGGAGAGGATGCTGGCTTAAGACCCACTACCTGCTCTTCGGCAACTTTCTAAGGCTTCTTTGCAGCTTCCAGGGGAAGAAAGGGAAGACGCACAGGCTTTGTTCTCCTGGGACAGCTCATGAGAACGGGCCACTGCTAGAGGATGTGAGAATACCTCTATGTAACAGTCTGGCGCATGGATATCATCCCTCCTGGCCACCAGCTCCCAGCGGCTGTCCCCTCACCAGTCCACCGCCAGGCCATGAGGCCCCCGAGGTCAGCACTCTCTCTGCTGAGGCTATCTGCCCACTCTCGAGCACAGGCTCAACCCCTGGATTCTGCTGCTCAACTAACTAAAAATGAAAACTATCAGTCTGCCGACTGTGAGAAATGGAATCGGGAAGATGGGGACCAGAGGCCCTGGGGATGCTTCCTGGATACAGCACTGACCACTCAGCTCCATCTGGAAATCCCAAGGCTAAAGCTTCAGGAGCAGGAACAGCTGGGAGGGCACACGGCCCTTACCATCTCAGCCCTAAGCCCCTTCACAGCCACACACAGAATGAAGCCCCAGGACACGCCTTAGCTACCTAACACTCTGACTGCTTTAGACCAGCCCCCAGGAGAGGCCAGTAGTCAACACCTAGACCAATCTCAAGTGGCTGCGATGTGCAGCTTCTGGGCATCTCCACGACCAACCCGTTAGCCCAGGACTTCAGCATCCAGCCCAGCTTTGCTCCTCCGACTCCCCTGCACCCTGAGCTCCCCCAACTCCCCTGCACCACTGCGGCTGCAGACGCCTGCACTCTACCCTCTAGTGGCCACAGTGGGAACAGCAGGAAGCCGAATCTGGCCGTTGTCCTCAAGGGGAACCGAGATGCACAAGGTCACTAGCTGGACTGTCCTTTCTCTTCCTCCCATCTTTTTGTGGATGGTTGTAAATCTTTTACAGTGATGCAAAAGCCTAAGCCACGTTTCTACCACCATTTAAATTGTTACTTCAGTCAAAATTCTATTGGATCCTTACGTGTATGGTTCTCTCTGTACACTCCCTGAATTCAGTTATTATTATCTTGGCAGAAGACGTTAGTCATAACCCCCACCACCAGAGAGTGCTGTCTATGGGCTACGCCAAGGAGCCCCTCCCCCAGGAAGGCCATGCTAATATCATCCTTATCTGCGTGGGCCAGGATGCAAAGGTTTGGAAACACTGATCCAGCAAGATTCAAAAAAGGGTTTTGAATTAAATCAAATAAGATGCCATGGGGACGCCTGGGTGGCTCAGTCGGTTAAGCGTCTGCCTTTGGCTCAGGTCATCATCCCGGGGTCCTGGGATCGAGTCCCGCATTGGGCTCCCTGCTCCGCGGGAAGCCTGCTTCTCCCTCTCCCGCTCCCCCTGCTTGTGTTGCCTCTCTCTGTCAAATAAATAAATAAAATCTTTAAAAAAAAAAACAAATAAGATGCCATGAATGAATTAATGAATGAAATCAGAGTACTTGCTTTGCTTCTTAATAACTGCAAATCACCAGCCTCTCCAAGCCTTGATTTTCCAACTGCGATAGAAAGAATTTACAGGATTATGAGGATTAACAAGGAATGACGTAAGTAAAAGCTGTAAAACATTATACAAATTTAATTATCACCTTGGACATTAACAGTTACACCACCGTTTCCTTAACAGACCACTCTCTTCAACCTCCCCTTTCTGCCATATACCCTGCTCTCATCAACAAACTATTCTTCAGACGCCTTTTCCCCCCAAAATCACTCTCCACGTTAAAAAATGTCGTCAGCTCCCCTTTGCCTACTCAGTCAAGTCTAAACTCCCACAAGGATCTCGGTCATCTGGCTGTCACCCCTCTGTTTTCCATGAACCCAATGGATGGGGGGGGGGGAGGTGTCCAAGTCCAATCTGGCAGGTACACCAGCCACTAGGGGGCGTAAGGTCCCAGGGTCAGCCTATATTAGGTAGAAGTTTATCCAGAGCAATCAGAAGCAACGCACAAAGGGGCAAGTTGAACGCATGAAGGAGGGAGGCCGAAGTCAGAGCTGCAGAAACAGCGTCAGAATGGGATTTAAGTGGCGCACCTGGGTGGCTCAGTCCGTTTCACAGCTGACTCGATCTCAGCTCAGGTCTTGATCTCAGGGTCATGAGTTCAAGCCCCACATTGGGCTCCACACCCAGCATGGAGCCGCCTTTATTATTTTTCTTTTTTGGAGCCTACTTGAAAAAAAAAACTGGATTTAGGGGCAAGGGAAGGACATAAGCCATGTAGTTTCATAAGGATGGGCTCAGCTACACTGTCCTGACAAACAAACTCCAAACCCCAGCGGCTTAACACAACAGAGACTTATTATTTGCTAATGCAAAGTCAGCAGCAGGCCTGGTGTGGGGTGACTCATGGTGACTGTCTTCCATGAGGTAGTCTTGTTGCAGAAGTTATGATACATCTGGGGGATGGTGCAGGCTTTTCTTTGCTTCAGCTGGAAGAGAAACCTGTCACTTCTACTCATACCTCACTGTCCACAATTAGTCAAACCGCCCCACCTTCTTTCAAGAAGACTGGTAAGTGTGGCTGTGCTGGATAGAATCCAAAAATGTCACCCACTAGGGGATGGGCTAAATGGGGGATGGGCATTAAGGAGGGCACTTGTTATGATGAGCACCGGGTGTTACACATAAGTGATGAATCACTAAATTCTACTCCTGAAACCAACATTACCCTATACGCTAACTAACTAGAATTTAAATAAAAATTTGGAAAAAAAAATGTCACCCACAATCCCTCCCCTCCCTCTACATGGAGGTCACTCCTCCCGTCAATAGTGCAGCCTACTTCCCCTCTCCCTAAATCTGGGCTGGCATGGTGACCTCCTTTGACCAAGAGAATGTAGGAGAAATGACAAAGGTGCAGCCCTTAAGCCCTTCTGTTCTTATTCTCTTGGAACCCAGCCTCCAACTTCTTTGGGTTGAGTTCCATTGAAGTTTGTCAATCACCTGTATTCCTAAACAATGAAACATGAATATTGGGTTATGGAATAGTTTCTCTTGATAAATAAACAACTAACAAATACTGTGGGCAGAAAAGAAAAAGGAAGGAAGGAAGGAAGGAAGGAAGGAAGGAAGGAAGGAAGGAAGGAAGGAAGGAAGGAAGGAAGGAAGGAAGGAAGGAAAAGGGTGACATGGAAGCATGTAGACGTGGGGATTCATTAGCACCTGTGCGCTTAAAGGTCATGCCTCTTCATGCATCTTCATGTCTAACTAGCCGGTTAAATCTCCACCCCTGAGCATGATTTTCACTATTATAATGAGGAGGAAAGTCGGTGAGAGGTCAGCAGTGGGATCTGCTCACATCTTTGCCAGTCTTTGTAGCCTACATGCTCCTTTCAATAAGCATCCTCGCTTTGCACTCGCCCAAGATGCTACTCAAGAGGCACTGAGTTTTAGCTTTTTTTCTTCCTCATGGAGGCAGCCAAAGAATGCTGGATTCTGCGGTCAGGGTTGAGGGGACCCAAGTCCAGTCCCTGCTCTGTCTCTCGATAAATAAATAAAATACAGCAAATCCACAAAATGGAATATTATTTGGTGATTAAAAGGAATTAAGTACTGATACATGCTACAAAAAGGATGAACCATTTATACGAAATGTCCAGAAGAGACAAATCCTTACAGACAGAAAGTAGATTGGGACGCCTGGGTGGCTCAGTCGTTAAGCGTCTGCCTTCGGCTCAGGTCATGATCTCAGGGTCCTGGGATCGAGCCCCGCATCGGGCTCCCTGCTCAGCGGGAAGCCTGCTTCTCCCTCTCCTTCTCCCGCTGCTTCTGTTCCCTCTCTCTCTGTGTCTCTGTCCAATAAATAAATAAAATCTTTAAAAAAAAAAAAGAAAAAGTATATCAGTGGTTGCCTAGGCCTGAGGGAGCTGGGAAGGGAAACAGGGTGTGACTGCAGTGGGTATGGGTGTTTTGGGGGATTTTGAAAATGTTCTAAAACTGACTATGGCAGTGGTTACATGACTCTGGATATTCTAAAAACCATTAAATTGTACATTTTAAATGGGTGGGTTGTATGATATGTGAATTATACCTCCAGTAAAGCTGCTTTTAAAAAAACCAAGGTTGGGGTGACTGGCTGGCTCAGTCAGTGGAGTGTGCGACTCTTGATCTCAGGGTTGTAGGCTGGAGCCCCACGTTGGGTGTAGAGATTACTTAAGAATAATTAAACCTTTTAAAAAATTAAAATAAAATAAAAACTGGATAGTTTTCAGTTACTGGGGAGGTTTTAAGTATCCTTTAACTGTGTTTGGAAAAACTTTCAATTGTAAATTGCAGATCAACAGTTTCTGGTGAAAACTTAGCATACAGGGGCACCTGGGTGGCTCAGTCGTTAAGCGTCTGCCTTCGGCTCAGGTTATGATCCCAGGGTCCTGGGATCGAGCCCCGCATCGGGCTCCCTGCTCTGCAGAAGCCTGCTTCTCCCTCTCCCACTCCCCCTGCTTGTGTTCCCTCTCTCACTGTGTCTTTCTCTGTCAAATAAATAAAATCTTTAAAAAAAAAAAAAAGAAAACTTAGCATACAAATTGAGCTGAGCTGTGAATGTTAAATACACACTGGATTTTGAAGAGTTAGCAAGAAAATAAATGTTTTGTATTGACTACATGCTGAAATGATAATACTTTGGCTACACACACAAATGTATTAATTTCATGTTTCTTTTTATTTCTTTTAATAGTCAGTAGGACATATTAAATAAATATGTGGTTTGCATTATACGTTGTTTGATTTGCTCTTCACCATTAATTAGGGCCTAAACCCTAAAGTTACATGTAACTTATAAATTTTGCCCAGGAAAAATACAAATGACTGAGTACTAGCCCAAAGTTGTATCGCTCAGTTTGTCTCTAACTTAGTTGACTTACTCCATCATGCCCTTCCTGACTCTACCAATCTTTATTCTGCAAATGCTCTTTGTTTTGGGTTTTGTTTTGTTTTTTTAAGATTTTATTTATTTATTGACAGGGGATGGGCAGAGGGAGAGAGAAAAGCTCAAGCAGACTCTGAGCTCAGAGCCCACTTCAGGGCTTCATCACCTGACCCTGAGATCACGATCTGAGCCTAAATCAAGAGTCGGACACTTAACCAACTGAGCCACCCAGGCGCCCTTGTGAATGCTTTGAATCAGCTCTACTGTAGGTCGGTTTCCTCACTGAGTTGAATAAACCTTTGACACATGTTTACTTTACAGTTGTATGAGTCATGTTTCAACTTTTTTTTTTTTTTAAGATTTTATTTCTTTGTCAGGGAAAGAGAGAGCCCATGGCAGGCAGAGAGAGAAGCAGGCTCCCCACTGACCAAGGAGCCCGACGTGAGGCTCGATCCCAGGACCCTGGGATCATGACCTGAGCCAAAGGCAGCCGCTTCACCGACTGAGCCACCAGGCGTCCCCATGTTTCAACTTTTTAAAATTATATTTTGACAGAGCCCTCCAGTATGGTCCAACATATTCAGATCACTTCTTTAATGTAAAATTTATAAATACTTGGGCCTGCTTCTCCCTTTCCACCCTGCTTTTACTCTGTCTAACTCTGTTGCTATCTCTGTCTCTCTCAAATAAGTAAATAAAAATCTTTTTAAAAAATTACAAATACTTCAAATAAAATGTCTAAAAGAAAAAGAAATTCACAGCCTTGTTACCCTAAGAATATTTTGTATTCATTCTTACCATCTCTCAATTTTTGACTATAACTTTTTCACAGATGCAATTATAAAATGGATGCTATTTTGCATCAATAGGTACATGCATAAAAATCATAAACATTATTCATGTTTTTACATGTTCTTCATGATTATCATTTTAATAGCTGCATATATTTCATTGACTTTTGTGTTCTAACTTAACAATGTGCTGATTGTTGAGAATTTGGTTGCTTTCCAACTTTTTACTCTTACAAAGCATGCTACAATGAACGTCTTCCACATATGTATTATATGATCTTTTGCTTCTGTTTAATT